GAATGTTGACCGTGGTCAACTAAACTTGTTTTTAAATCCTAAAATCTAAATTTTCTTTAAAATTTCATATACAAACTTTTCGTAAAATGACACGGATCATGCACGAAAGTCATATAACATTTAATGGATCTATGAGAGATCTCGGAACACAAAAATAAGGGTTAGTACTCAAAACAACCTATCGAGTCTTCACATGGACAAGTTGAGTGAATTGATTAGGGGTATCAACAATAAGTCTTTATCGTGCGATTGTATCTATCGTGTGCGTCTGGGGCGAAATAAGGGTAGCGCTATCTCAAGTTGCCCATGTGACAAAAAAGGATGGCAATATGCGCATGTGGCGAAATAAGGGAGGTATTTTGTTGTTATATGTGTATGTGACGAAATAAGGGTGGCGATATATGCATGTGGGGAAATAAGGGAGGCATTTCATTGTTATGTGCAGTGCAGTGTGCATATGTGATGAAATAAGGATGACACTATTGATGAGGTTATGTGGTATTTTGGGGTGCCATTCTTGATGTTATTTTTGTATTGAAACGGGGTTGATTTTGATTGCATATTTGTTTCTTAAAAAATTTTGTCTTGTACTTTTATGAGTTGTTAGTTGAATTTGAGATGCTATCACATGCCCTACTCCTATTTGATGTCTTGTTGACAAAGATGAGTTTTTCTATATTGAGTTGTTGTCACCAGCTCTATGAGGTTGTTGATATTATCTTCTTGTATTTTCTAGTGTTAGTTTTTTTTATATATATTGCACACGTTATTTGACTAGTGAGTAGCACATGACTTGAACCTCGTCACTATTTTATCAAGGTTAGTCTTGATTCTTACTGGGTACTGAGTATGATGTACTCATACTACGCTTCTGCATATTTTTGTGCAGGTCCAGATACTTCTGTCGGGCAGATTGCTAGGGAGGCGTGCTTGTGTTTAGCTTATTGGAGACTTCAAGGTATCCATGTTACTCCGTTCGCATGCCTCGAAATAACCCTCTTTACTTTATTTCTACTGTTTATGTATTTCAAACAGTATTATACTCTTCGAAACAGATGCCTTTTTCTAGAAGCGTATAATATTAATCTTTGGTGAAAGTATGAGATTATACTATTAGGAAACAAACTGAAAGCATGTAAAAGTGTATTATTTTGATGCAGAAGTAGAAATGGCATGGCCTTATTACAGGACGACGAAAGGAAAGAATCTGCAGCTACAGTGGAATTGGGATTGCTCGTAGAGGTTGGGCTTTCAGCGAAGTAAGACCAAATTTTTCATCCATGTTCAAGACTTTAGGATCAATTCCACCATCTAATTTCCAATTAAATTTATTTATCAATGAACCTAGCACTACCGGAATTATCCTTTCCGCCAAAGGCAATGCAGGACAAATTCTTCGACCAGCACCAAATGGAATGAGCTCAAAATCCTGACCACGAAAATCTACTTCTGACTCCAAAAACCTCTCCGGCTTAAAAACCAATGGATCTTCCCATATATTAGAGTCGCAACCTATAGCCCACGCATTGACAAGTACTTGTGATTTTTTCGGAACAATATAGCCACAAATCTCAACATCTTCCTCAACTTTTCGCGGAATTAAGAAGGGAACTGGGATGTGTATTCTTAATGTTTCTTTCACTATGCATTGCAAGTAAAGCAATTTTGCAACATCAGCTTCTTCTACCAGTTTGCCTTTACCAATTAAATCCGCAACTTCTTCTTGGGCTTTCTCTAAAATATGTGGATTCTTAAGTAATTCTGCCATTGCCCATACTAATACACTTGATAGATATAGTTTCTGTCCCTGCTACAAATAAGTCAAATAACAAGCGCTCAATGTGAATCCCATCAAGCTCTTCTGGGCTATCTTTGCTAATGTTGTGAAGCACGTCTAAAACATCACCCTTTGTATCATTTCTTAGCTTCCTCTCTTGTAGTCGTTCATCGATCAAACGTCTGAAAAGGTCCAAGACTTTTGTCGCGTGATTGGTAATGCGACGCCTTATACCTATTGAGACATAATATAATTAATTAATTAATAAAAATTCTACTCTCTCTAATAAATTAATGCACTTGATCAATACCTTGAGGATCAATTTTCTCTAGGAAAGGGAAGTAGTCAACCAAATTGGGTTTGGCAGCTTCCACAAGTATACCACGCACCGAGAATTTAAATTCTGAAGCAGTGTCTTCTAAATCAATAGAGAAAATGGTGTTGGACAGCAAATTTAAGGTTAACTTAAAAGTTTCTTTATCAATATCTACAGCTTCATAATCTTGACCACACTTGTAACAATAATCAATAGCAAAGTCTGATTCAACCATCATCTGCTCTGCTGCAAATTATTTGCAATACAACATTTGATTCCAATGAACACGGCTTTAGCCTCAACCATGTTATTAGAATAGTCTTCAAAGCAAAAGCCATAATCAGTTGACCATAAGAGCTTAAACTATAGCCATGTGGTCATGAGGGAGATTTATTGGTTATGGCTTTAACAAATTGGATATAGTACACCTTAATTATGAAACTTGCACAATAAAGGGCACTTATTTAGGCTGATGTAAACATATTCCTTGACATAATCCTAATTAATTAGTCCTAGTGGGTAAGTAAACCAAACCAAAAATTAATTAGTCCTGTTCTCCTAATTAATTAGCCCTAGTGGGCAATTAAACCAAACCAAAACCGGTGGCTTCTTTCTGTAAATATACTCATTTATTGCACCTCCTTTTATTTACTGTTTCATTGATTATAACTCTACCTGTGCATGTAAATAATGATACGATTGTTACAACACCATCTTTTTGTGATTTGGATAAATTTACAGTATTAGGAATTCTAATACTCATTTAACATTTGTGGAGGTAAGGTTTTATGTTCCTCCCTTCATGTATTCTCTTTTTGGATATTAATATACAAGGTTGGGGTCGACGCCTTACCGTCTAATATCACCAGGGGAGGTGAAAGCATCGGTAATGAAATTTTATAAAATAAAATAAAAAGGTCATCTGGGACGGCTAAAGAAAACCAAACTAAATATTGTAAGCAACATATAATTCACAAAAATAATTACTACTTAATAGAGTTGACTTTAAGAAAATATAGTCACTTGATTAAAGTCTTATGTATACTAAATTGTCCAATCATGAGTAGATCAAAATACTCGTTTTAGTTTTGAATGAATTTATGATTCTCATTTTTCCTTGTACTAGGGACACCACCAAAGAATTTTATATAAATCAACCTTTCCATCAGTTTTAATCTCTCACATTTCCATTTTGAACTTGCTGAAACTTATTATTTTCTTTTTCTACAATGGAACAACTTTCTTCGACTTCAGCATTGTCAGTTACACGACGTGAGTCAGAACTAGTCGTTCCAGCAACAAGTACTCCTCGAGAAGTAAAGTACCTTTCAGACATAGATGATCAAGGATGTCTACGTTTTCATACATATATTTTAATGTTTTACAAAAACAACCCTTCAATGGAAGGGATAGATCCCGCTAAGGTGATTAAAGATGCATTGTCGAAAACACTAGTTTTTTACTATCCATTAGCTGGTAGGCTCATTGAAGGACCTAATGGAAAGCTTATGGTAAACTGTAATGGTGAAGGAATCTTGTTTACAGAAGCCTGTGCAGATGTGGAACTTGAGATGCTAGGAGACTCCATTAAACCTCCATGTCCATTCTTGGAGGATTTGTTGTACAATGTACCAGGTTCTGATGGGATCATTGATTGCCCTCTTATGTTGATTCAGGTGCGTATGTCGTCTCTTGTGACAGCGCGTGAAAGATTTGAAAGTTTGAAAATACCACATGGATATTACGGTAATGCATTTTCTTTTTCAGCAGTAGTATCAAAAGCAGGACATGTAGGTACATATCCATTGACGTATGCTCTTGATTTAGTCAAGAAAGCCAAGAATCAAGTGAATGAGGAGTATTTTAGATCTTTGGCAGATCTAATGGTGATTAAGGGGAGACCTATCATATCACTTTCATGGAATTTTGCTATTTCAAACATTGCTCATGTAGGTTTTGAAAAGTTGATTTTGGATGGGGAGAACCAAAATATGGTGGGGTTGCTAAGGCTCATTCATTTGTTAGCTACTTAGTGCCTTGTAAAAGTAACAAAGGGCAGAAGGGCATTCTGGTACCAATAAGCTTGCCTCCAAGAGCAATGGAAAGATTCGAAGATTCTACGTACAATATTATAACTTCAAAGGTCGTGAAAGGTCTCAAGAAAGTAGCAAAGATATAGGTGGTGTTTGGATTGCCAAGTAAATCTAATGTTTTCTGAAATCGATGTACATGTTTGGATTTCAATAATATATATGGTAGGGGCTAGGGGTGGGCATAAAATCCGAAAAACCGAATTCCAAACCGGACCGAATTAGTTCGTGTTAAAGTATAAAAGGGTAGTTTAGTCATTTCTTATTTAGTTGTTAACTTAGTTAGCTTATTTAAGCTAACTCCTTTGTAAAAAGAAGATAAGTTTTCATTTTCTAATACAAGATATAGAAAGCTCCGCCTACTTTCTCTGTCTACTCAAACTTTGTGTTTCATCTTCTTCATACTCTTCATCTCCATATCAATTACATCTTCTTCTTAGCTGAATTATAACATGGTATCAGAGCTCTACAAGCTACGAAACTGAAGCTTGTAAATCGATCAAAACTTAGTTGCAATTCTAGTGAAAAATCTGGTCACTGAAGGTCAAGAATCCATGGCTATCACTAATGAACAATCGAGGGCAATCTTGCAAATCTGGGCACTCAAAATTCTGGAAACTCAATTGCAGGATTGGACTACAATCATCCACTATTCTTGTCACCAGCCGATGTAAGTGGAATTCAAATAATTTCATTTCAATTGACAGGGATTGAAAACTATTCAATCTGGAATAGATCTATGAGAGTAGCATTGCTAGGAAGAAACAAACTAGGCATGGTCGATGGGACATGCAAGAAAGAAAACTTTCCAATAACCATGGAAAATCACTGGGAGAGAGTCAATGCAATTGTTCTACCTTGGATAATGAATTCTGTGGCTAAGGGGCTGTTCGGAGGAATTATGTATGCATCTAGTGCTCAAGCTGTTTGGGAAGATTTATTAGAAAGATTTAATAAAATTGATGGGTCAAGAACCTTCAACCTACACAAAGAAATTGCAACTTTAACTCAAGGGATTGCCTCAGTCTCTGTATACTTCTCAAGAATGAAAGATTTGTGGGAAGAGTTTGAGGCATTAGTGCTTACTCCCGGGTGTGATTGTGAAAAATCAAGAGATTTTGTGTTATATTTAAAAAATTGAAATTGTATTAGTTTTTGATGGGGCTAAATGAGTCATACTCACAGGCTAGAAGTCAGATTTTAATGTGAAGTCTGTTACCTACAGTGAATCAAGCATATGCAATGATAGTTAGTGCTGAAAGCCAAAAATCAGTTGCAGCTATGTCCGGTGTGTTAGGAACTAATCCTAATGCAATTCCTGGTAGTTATGGTATGGCTATGTACTCAAGAAGTGGTAATAATCAGCCTCAAAGATTCAAGAAAAATTACAACATACAGTGTGATTTTTGTAAGCTTAAAGGATACAGCAAAGAAAATTGCTATAAAATTGTAGGGTATCCTGCAGATTTCAAGAAGAAGAAAAATTCTGGGATTCACTATCCTAATCATAGTGCAAATGCAGTCAATGTACTCACAGATAACTCTCAGATGGATCAGAATAATCCCATAACATTCAACTATGGGGTGAACACAAATGTGGTAGAACAGAATGCAAGTAATAGCCTCAATCAAAAGCCAAGTACATATGGTCTATCATGTGAGAATGCTGCTGGAACTCAATTAGGAAACTACACTTTCACCAAGGATCAATATGATCAAATTGTCCATATGCTAAACAAGATTTCAATACCTTCATCAGACAATTCTGCAGCAAATTTGACAGGTAATCCTAAAGCTCTACTAGTCTCTGATGAATCTTATAATTGGATTATAGACACTGGAGCTACAAATCACATGGTTTCTGATATTAACATGTTAGATAAATCCTCAATAATTGAGATTGAAAATCCAAAAAAAGTCTTCTTACCAAATGGTGATATAACACAAGTCACACATATAGGTTCAAGTTCTCTATCAGATGAGAATACAATTTCTAATGTATTTCATGTGCCACAATTCAAATTTAATCTATTATCTGTGTCTAAGGCTACTAAGGAACTAAAATGTTCAGCAACCTTTTTCCCTAATTTTTGCTTCTTCTGGGATCTCCTCACTGGAAAAGTGAGGGAGATTGGTAAGGAAGAAGATGGGCTCTACATCTTACTAAGACAAATAACGGAGAAGAATAAAAGGATTGCATTAGCAGCCTCAGAAGTTGAAAATCTAAACAAGCAGCTAGATGTGGATCTGTGGCACAAAAGACCTGGTCACTTGTCTACTATAGGATTACAGAAAATTTTACATGTTAGCTTACCATTCATTAGAGAAAAGATCAGCAAATGCACGGTATGTTCTTGTGCTAAACAAACTAGGTTGCCTTTTCATTCTAGTAGCATTAAAAGTACCTATTGTTTTTACATGATACATACAGACTTGTGGGGACTTTACAAAGTGAATACATTTGATGGTAATAGATATTTTCTTACAATAGTTGATGATTACTCAAGAATGACTTGAATATTTCTACTTAAACAGAAATCTGATGTGTTTATATCTTTACAATATTTCCTTACTTATGTTAAAAATCAATTTGATAAGACAGTAAAAATTATAAGAACTGATAATGGAACAGAATTTATGAACTCAATGTGTGATAATATGTTCAAGAACTTAGGGATTATTCATCACAGGACTTGTATTTATACCCCTCAGCAAAATAGAGTAGCTGAAAGGAAACATAGACATATACTTGAAGTAACCAGAGCTCTTACATTTCAAGCTCAAATTCCAATCAAATACTGGGGTCATTGTGTGTTAGCAGCAGTATATTTGATAAATAGGATGCCTAGTTCAGTCATAGGTAACATGAAAAATTATACCAGAAGAAGCCTTCTCTAGAACATCTTAGGGTGTTAGGTTGCTTATGCTTTGCAAAGGTTGTGTAGGAACATGATAAAATTATGCCAAGAGCTAATAAGGTTGTTCATATGGGATACTCAGAGGTCCAAAAAGGATACATTTTATTTGATATTGCTAATCAGTCTTTCTTTGTTAGCAGAGATGTGACATTTAGGGAAGACATATTCCCTTTCAGTTATAGAAACAAAACTGCAGCACAGTCCTTATTTATAGATCCTACTCTGCATACAGGGATAACACTAGATGTTATACCTGAGACTAGTCTTACAAACAACCTTCCAAACACTATGGTTCAACAACAAAATCAAGACTTTGAAGTAGCAGAAACAGATACAAATACAAATACACCTTCACCAATTATAGATGTTCAGGTATACTCTCAACACTTAGAACAAACTATGACAGATCAACAAATACCTCAACAGACTCAACCTCAACAAATTATTGTTAGAAAATCAACAAGAGACAAAAATCCACCTATATGGATGAAAGACTTTGTATCACTGAATATTCACAGAGATGAACCTTATGCAATAAACAATTATCTAGGATATGATCAACTATCACCCAAATATCAATCTTATATGAGTGTGTTTTCTTCTGTTATTGAGCCTGCAAACTATTCTGAGGTAGTAAAAGATCCTAGATGGGTGGAAGCAATGAATGAAGAAATAAAGGCACTTGAGAACAATAATACCTGGGAAATTGTCACACTACCAGAAGGTAAGAAACCTATAGGGTGTAAATGGATCTTCAAGATCAAATACAAAGCTACAGGTGAGATTGAAAGATTCAAGGCTAGATTAGTAGCAAAGGGGTACAGTCAAAAGGAAGGGATTGACTACCAAAAAATATTTTCACCTGTAGTGAAAATGGTAACTATTAGGACAATTTGGCTTTAGCAGCAGCAAAACAATGGCATATACACCAAATGGATGTGTATAATGCCTTTCTTCAAGGAGATCTTCATGATGAAATCTACATGGATTTGCCCCAAGGATTTTCAAGTGAGGGGGAGAATAAAGTAGTATGTAGACTAATCAAATTCTTGTATGGGCTTAAACAAGCACCAAGGCAATGGAATGCAAAGTTGTTAGAATCTTTGTTAAATTTTCAGTTCAGACAAAGTCAATTTGATCATTCTCTATTTATAAAAAGGACAAGTGAGGGAAGTGTAATGGTACTAGTCTATGTTGATGATATGTTAATCACATGAGACAATTTGAAACTAATTGAAGAAAATAAACAGTCCCTGCATAAAGCTTTTAAGATGAAAGATTTGGGAGAGTTAAAGTATTTCTTAGGTATTGAATTTGCAAGGTCAAAGCATGGAATTATCATGCATCAAAGAAAATATGAACTAGAACTCATATCTGAAGCTGGATTGTCAGCAGATAAGCCTGATGTAACTCCTATAGACACCAACATGAAGCTCACATCAAAAGCATATGATGATCAGATTGGAAAAGGTATCAAATCTGAAGAAGATCCTCTTACTGATCAACAAGTTTACCAAAGACTCATTGGTAAACTGTTATATCTAATAGTAACAAGACCTGACATATCATTTGGTGTACAAACACTAAGTCAATTCCTTCAACAACCTAAGAAGTCTCACATGGATGCAGCATTGAGGATTGTAAAATATATAAAAAATCAGCCAGGTCAAGGAATACTTTTATCTAGCAAATCCAGCAACATTATTACTGCATATTGTGATGTAGATTGGGCTTCTTGCCCTTTTACCAGAAGATCTGTAACAGGATTCCTTATTAAAATTGGAGATTCTCTAGTTTCATGGAAATCTAAGAAACAAACTACAGTCTCAAAGAGTTCAGCAGAAGCTGAATACAGAAGCCTAGCAACAAGTGTAGCAGAGCTGATTTGGCTCATTGGACTACTGAAAGAAGGGGATGCAGATAGTAAACTACCAGTTGAAATATATTGTGACAGCAAAGCAGCTATTCAAATAGCTACTAATCTTGTATATCATGAAAGGACCAAACACATAGAAATAGATTGTCACTTTATAAGAGAAAGAGTTCAACAAGGCTTGGTAATCACCAAGTATATTGCAACAAAGGACCATCCTGTTGATCTCCTTACAAAAGGGTTTAGTAAAGTTCAACATGAATATCTAAACTCCAAGCTAGGTGTTTTAAACATCTTCATACCACCTAACTTGAGGGGAAGTGTTAAAGTATAAAAGGGTAGTTTAGTCATTTCCTATTTAGTTGTTAACTTCTTTAGCTTATTTAAGCTAACTCCTTTGTAAAAAGAAGTTAAGTTTTCATTTTCTAATACAAGATATAGAAAGCTCTGCCTACTTTCTCTCTCTACTCAAACTCTCTGCTCCATCTTCTTCATACTCTTCATCTCCATATCAATTACATCTTCTTCTTAGCTGAATTATAACAGTTCGGTATTTCGGTTTCAGTTTTTTCGGTATTTCGGTATAATTCAGTATTAAATTTTCGGTTATTCGGTATATCGGTACGGTTCTTGGTATTAAGATTTCGATATTTCGGTATTTCGGTATACCGAAATACCGAATTATTTATGTGCTTTTCCAATCCTAGTCCTACCTACACTGCCTTAACCCAGCCCAAGTTTCTATTTCTAGCCCAATAAAATTAAGCTCAATCCTTTACTCTCTTACTCACTTTCCCTTGTTTCCAAGTTAGAATTAGGTTTCTCTTGTCAAACAAAGAAGTGAAGAACAGAGTACACACCGACTGCTGCGAGTGCTGCGAGTGAAGAACTTTTCAACCTTTTTTTTTACCTTCATTCTTTTGTCTTAAACTTTTCAATGTGTTTACAACTTCTTCGTTCTTTAACATTCAATTTGTATTTTAACAATTTATAGTAATCGTATTTAGTATCTTATATATAATTATAAGTTACTAGTAGTAATACGTTGCAGTGGTGTTGATAAATTTTCCTTCTCGTTGTAAATCCTTTCTCTTTGCAGTGGTGTTGATAAATTAGCACAATGTGATTCATTATGTATCAAACCGAAATCGTACCGAATCAAAATCAGAAATATCAAATCGTACCTAACTACTTTGGTACGGTATTTGGTATATACAATTGATAAATCGAATACTGAAATACCGAACCGAAGTTCTTAAATACCGAACCAAAACACCGAATGCCCACCCCTAGTAGGGGCAATGTGTTTGGATTTATTTCTGAAATAATTAATTGTTTCTGTTGGAAGTTTTGTTTTTAGAAAAACTAAAAGAGAAAATACATAAGTTGCACCCTGAACTTGTCCCGAAAAGTCAGTTTCAGAATCAACCTTTACGGGCATTTTAATACTATCTTATTCTTATCCATAGTGAAATTAATACCTCCTTCAAAGATGAACTGACAAAGAAAGTGGGTTCACGTCACTCAAAGCGCGTGGGAAGATGAAAAAATAATAAAAGCTGCTTAAATTATATAGATGTCATTTCTTTATTGGTTGTTACATTTAATTACACTTAATTAGTTGTATTTAATGTAATACCAACCCTTTTAAATTCTTTTCCTTTTTCTTTTTTATTTTTCCTGTTTTCTTCTCTTTCTCTCTTTCCTTTTCTTATTCCCTCTCCTCCATTTCCGCCGGAGAACACCACCATACAAATAGCCATCGCTACCACCATATAAACATGAAATACTCATCGATGCCACCATACGAACACCCATCCCACCATTGTAAAAGAGTTATCACCAAAAAGCTAGTTTATTGACCTAATAGCACCTTCACTGAAAAATCATCTTCAATGATTATAGTTGGTGCTTCATTAGGATAAACCATATGTTCTGGTAATGAACGATTACATAAAATAAATTTTTTCAGTTACGAAAAAAAAAACCTTCATAAAATAAATTCATTAATTTTTTTCAATTTCTCTTCAATTTATTATTGTTTAGTAAAGAGATAAAATATTGGGCGCTTGTAGATCTAGAAGCGAAAGTGATTTCTCTATCACCAAATAGCTAAACATTAGATTTGTAACAAAGGTTTTTAAATAGACCAAAATTTATAGCTTCATTGTAGGCAACATAAATTGCCATGGAAATTCTAGCAATACATGAGTAAAGAGATGAAAATACTTATTAATATTTGTTCACAATCTCTGTGCATTCACCATAATCCAGAAAGAGACGAGCTGGAAAATTTTCTCTGAAAAAGGAAAAATTAACGATGGGAGGAAGAAAGAGAGAAAGAAAGGTTCGAGTGGGGGGAGGATTATTTCAGTAAAAAGAAAAAAATAAAAAATTATGAAAATACCACGTGTCAACGCGTGTAAACACTGCTTGGGTAGAATTTGGTTGTTACATTTTAGGGGGTAAATAAATTCATCTTGGACAATGATAGGATGGTATTAGAACGCCCATAAAGGTTGAGTCTGAAACTGACTTTTCGGGACAAGTACAGGATGCAACTTATGTATTTTCCCAAACTAAAACATACACATTTGGGTTGCATATTGGTTTTAGAAAAACAATAATAACTGGTTATTTTAGAAAACTAAAAGGTATTTTCCAGGGAAATATAGTTTTTTTTCACTTTTCCCTACTACAAATTGCAAATTAATTGTCACGTCCCAACTCTCACAGGAGCCGCGACAGCGCCTAACACAACTTGCTAGAGTGAGACCATCAATGAACCTCTTGATCCTCTCTCTCTCTTAGTGGGACCAACCATATGGCATGACGGGCCAATTTCGTGAATCTCATCTCATACTAAGTCACAATCATATCTCTCTAGCGTAGCTAATCAAACTCCCTACACAACTCCTCTCTATGAGTTTGTGGAACAAACTTCTCTAAGAAGAGAATTAAAAACTCATGCCACATAAGTAGTGTTGCGCCAGCTGGCCAGTCTAACTCATAATCTCGCCACCATCTGTAGGTTGCCCCTATCAGCTGAAAAGTAGTGAAAGCAACTCCATTTATATGCACAATACCCATTGTGCGAAGAATCTAATGACACCGGTCCATAAAATCTTGAGCATCCTCTGACTCTCCCTCGCTGAACTCAGGCAGATCAAGCGTCCTAAATTGGTCCAACCTCCTCTTCTTTGCATCAGTCATAGGTAGACTAACCTCGGCCCGAGCAGCAACAACTAGTTGTATTGGTAATACCCTTGGTGTCTGATGACCCTGAGCTAGCTGCTCTAGAGTACAGGCAGCGGGAGTACGGGCTCCTCCCTAGCCTGTGAGGTAGCTGGTACAACTGGCATAGAAATCGCCTAAGCCAAGCCCGCACACACATTCAAAATATGAGCCAAAGTCTCCTGAAGGCCAGGTATCACAATGGGTACCGCCGGTGTCAGAGCTGGTCCCACCGGCTCAATGGTATCTGGTACATGCTCTTTCACTAGAAAAACTGGTGGCTCCACAAGTGATGCCCTCGCTGCAGTGTGAGCCCCAACTCGGCCTCTACCTCGGCCCCAGCCTCTCGTGGCCCTAACTGGTGGTACTGGTGACTAATCAGTTGAATGTGTTCTCACCATCTGTGAGAGGATAAAAGAATAGAGGTTCAGACTTCAAAATTAACAAATTAGCATGACAAGAATACAAGAAAGTGAAGTTTTCTAATGGTTCGGTAGCCTCTCGAAGATAAGTACAGACGTCTTTTAACCAATCCGTAAGATTCTACTAAACTTGCTCATGACTCGTGAGTCCCTAGCAATCTAGTGCTCTAATACCAACTTGCCACGACCCAACTCTCATCGGAACCCGGTGGCGCCTAACACTACTTGTTATGCAAGCAAACAATTCCTCTATAGCAGTAAATTCAATAAAACAGAATTTAGTAAACTCAACAGTGAAAATATCATAAAATAATTGCGAAAACAACTATAATGCCACTATAACCATCCCAATAATCTGGTGTCAACGAGTGCCT